GAAATGCCTTACCTAAGCATACTCTGGGTATTAAGGGTGGGTTTGAGAGGATGACACAAAACAATGCACAGTATGCTCTATGTTTAATAATCTACACAGAAATAAATCCAAGGTTTATCTTTGTTGAAATTTTGCTAATTTAAATCTTTCCAGTGAGCACCAAGAAGGAAAAATTATGAATGTGATTTTCCTTTTACTTTACCCGGACAAAGCAACTGCTAAAGCCAGCATTTTCATTCTGAACTGGAGGTTAAATGAGATAGTGAGTTAAAATTTAGTTTCTGTAGAGGAGATCCATAAATTTTGTTTCAAATTAACGTTTTGAATCTAAACATCTCCATTTTACTCAGGCTCCCTTGCCAAATTACTCTTTTGATAGTCAAATAGGCATGCTGGTAGGCATGTCTTGAACACTAAAAATATTAAAGTGGCAATCAGAATACACTTTTGCAATAAATCTTGTTTTGGGAGTTGTTCTAATTCCCTGTCAATAAAGCCATTATTTAGCTTTGCTAAATGCTCCCACACATAGATGAGGTGAGGCTTCTGGAGTTAGACAGGTTTCTTTTGAGTTACAAAAAGAATTCAGCTTTGTGCCCAGAGCAAATGTTTACAAAAGTTATGATTTAACTACCCACTATGAAGAGGAGGTTAACTGGATAGCCTGATCACCTAGAAGCTGCCACTAAATTCTTTAATCTGCCTTTGAAAATCCTTTCTTTCGTGTAGAAATACCAATGCTTAAGGAAATTTTGTTCCCCAGATGCTGCCTTTATAGTGGGCAGACAACTCACAGAATCTTTTAAACTTCCAGGGTATACAGTATATTTACTGAATGAACAATGCCATACCTTTAGGGCCAACTGCCTTGGCAGTTTTCACTTGAGTATCACTTTGGTGGCATTAGGTTTACTGTTGCAGGCCTGTTTGCAGTACTTTCACTCCTTACTGGAAAAGTTTGGATGTGGGAATAGAAATTCTTCTTTCTGGAGTCTTTGGAAAGAGAAGAGAAAAAAAAAGGGAAGCATTGCTGTGCTGTTTTGCTCCCTCTCACCTTTCTTCAAATTTCAAGTTCACCATATATTTATGCAGGATTGTGCCTCTGTATGTTCTCTTCCAGTACTGTCCTGAGGGGGATGACCATCCACTTAGTGCATTTTTGTGCATCAAATCTCTCTTGAAAGAACTAAATAAGTCTGATTCAATCTTCATAATTCTGCTACAGGAACCAGCCCTGTAGCCCTGGTACATCTTTCAGTAATGTATAGCTACCTCTTCTCTCACTAATTCTCTTCCCAGTCCACATATTTCCTCTTTTAATTCCTATCTTTTCAGGCTTAAGCACATGGCATTTTATGAAGCCCTCAGAGTCAATATAATTCCTAAATAAAATCTTCCATTTATCTTATCAAAGAAGGGTATTAAGCTGGCTAGCATGGTCTAACTTTGATAAATCTGTCATGCTAGATCCAAATTGTGTTTCCATGGTTTGTTTTGAAGACTGTCTGCTATTGAGTCTAATTTAATAAATTTGTTATTGCACAGAACATTTTTCCTTTCCATCTCCCACAAAATATTTGTACTCCTAATTGCACAAAATGTCATGTGACCTGATAAAATTATTCAGACACCTCACAGATGGGCTTACAGTTTCATAAGTAATTTTTAGTCTCTTGGATGAAAACTACCTGCTGTCTTGGTGCAGATTAATTGTTTAGTGCCTGTCTTGTTAGGCAGTTTCTGTCTATCATTCCATTAGCTTTTTTGTCTTTCTGTTCAAGAAGTATAGTTCATCTTACGAAAACAGAGATAGAATATCATTGACATAAGAAAATGTATCTGTATCGTGCTCATCTTCACTCTGCATTCATTGCATTTTAATTTACATGGTTAATGTTTTCACTATTTCCTTTCCAAGGTCAAATGCAGCCTTGGAAGCCTTCTTTTCATTTCTAAAATTGTTGACGTTAGTTCCTTTTCTGTCTTGAATATTCTCAAAACCTCTCAATTTAATGCTGCTTGAATTACTATGTCACTATTTAATTCATTAGTTTATGTCTACTAATTTGGTTTTCTGTAAGAGAAATAAATTTTGAAAACCTAACTTAGGGAGCTAAGGAGGCAAATTCACATAAAACTCATGAATATTCCCAGTTGTAGGGGATGCCTAAGAGGCCTAAATTCTTTGTGTGTTTGGTTGGTATCTGTGCTTTTGTTTGTGATACACTCCCTGCAGTATAAGTCGAAAGACTACAATTAGGCCAATAATTATTTGTGGAAAGAGGATCTACCAGCAATTACATCCCTGGGTTTTGTTCCTCTTAGCGTCATTATCAATACTTATTCAGTAATCTCCAAATTTTACATAAATTTTGCAATTCTAATTTGTGTGAGACTTCTTGCAGGACAAATCTTTGAAGAACTATACTTGTATCCAAATCTGAGGCTCCTTTCACTTTTTCCTTAATGGTGCCAACCTTTTGCTATTTATGTTGCAGTTCCTTTTGTCATGGCCATCAGTTCACCAGGAAGTTAGCTCTATGCCCTCATCATTTCCAGGGATAGCATTTCCAGGGATACTTTGTAGTTGCTTTATGAAATTCTTATATGTACAAACCCTCAAGAGAAGAACAGGGAGGAAAAGACATGGGGGGAAATGATATCATGTGCTTCATAACTGCTGCACTTAGGACTTCTCAGTATTTTTTTCTCATATTTTCCTTGTGACTCCACTTTTTTTTGTCTCCATATAAAAATCTAAATGCTATAATTAAGACACAATCAATTTTCTGGCTTTTATTTATTTTTCTTAATTTTTTCATATGCTTGCCATGTCAAATTTCAAATCTAAGCTATATTTTCCCCATAATATTAGTTCAGGAACAATCACCAGGCAGCTTCAGTGAATGGCAGGAACCTCTCCACACCCAGACATAGTTCAAGTACTGCAAATAGTGACCAAAGGAAGGACTTAACGAGACTATTATCGAGAATGGGTCAAGCATACAGTTCTCCACTTTTCTTCCTTCTCTAATTCCCATGCTTGCTGTCCCTTTTATTTTATCTCTGTCATGAAAATTTACTTTACTTCTTTCATTTGGATGTGTCAGCTGTAAGTAGCAGGCAGTTGTCTTCAATCTCTGACCCTCAAGACTTGTGCCCTCCTCAAAGCATGAGTGTATGCTTTTACTTTAAGGACTGAACAGCTTTAATGACTAGTGTCCTCTTCTCAAAATCTGATTTTGCCTTGACATTTTCCTTCTCCTGTCAAACTTCTTTATGTTTTTTTTTTTATCCATTGAAGTAAAAGAGCTTTAGAAGGGAAATGCTGTTTTTTTCTCAGTTTATAAACGAGTCAAATGAGTCACAGAGGTAAAAATGTGCAAGCTAAGAACATTCCTCAGGTCAGTAACAACTAAGAATAAAATCCAGGTCTCTTGACCCCAATCCAAAGTATGTTGGATCACCCTACTTTAATCCATTGAAATAAGTAAAGTGGATGACTTGTTAAGTTGCTAGTCAGTACAAGAAAGAATGGCAGGAAAAGGCTTTTAAGCTGGAACACAAGCTACAGCTTGTATCGGCTAGATTGTAGTTGAAAAACTAGAGCACAACAAAAATTTCCTGTTTATAATTAATTGTGCCATGAGTGCTACAGGTGAAATTATTCTTTCTCAGTATCAGTTATGTGTGTGAATATTTTTGTTGCTCTCCATAGCTCATGCTTGGTAAAATGGATTGAGATGCTAACCCATCTTCTACTTGCCTAACCAAGAGTACTTGTCTTTCTGTTTGCATCATTCTCAGCGTGTCTCCTTGCAACTGAGTGCATGTGAGCACACCTGGTACCCACTGAAATCCTGAGGTTAGTAAGGCATGTGACCCCTACTTCTGCCTAGTAACTTAGCGTCTCAGAGGGCTGCCTCAAACTGAAGGAGCTCAGTCCAAGACACTTGCCTTTTCTGAGAAGTTGGGCTTAGACAGAAAGAGAGACAAAGGACATCTTGATGTTACATTCAGTTAAAGCTGAGTGCATGGTGTGAGATTTGATTGCCTGAAACCAGAACAGCCCTGTTTTCAGCTAATGACTGCTAAATTAGATTCAATAACACATCACAGGAAGACAATCTGATGATTTATTGGTACCTAGTTAGGATGAGAGAGAGGAGGTGAGGCTAGAAGTTAGATTCCTCAAGCCCTACCTCAGGCTGTAAAGGCTGGTGTCAGTTTGTTGCTCTCCTGTTGGCTTGTGTTGAATTAATTCAACAGCCGCTGCTTAAGGCTGTTTTTCCAAGTCCCTTCTACAGCCTAATGCCTAGAGCCTTCTTTCAAAGTATGAGTGTGTTTAAATCCCAGCATGAGACAACTGAAGCGAAGTCTCTTATTGCTCGGGAGAATGTTCTGCCGTGGTGACTGTGGGAGAGAGGAAGGGAGCGAGAATGTCAAAAATAGAAATAAAAATTAAGCAAAGGCTGATTCCAGCTGTCCTTTTAACTGTATGCACTTCCAGGCAGCTGTGTTTGAACACCTGTTTGAAGTGTCCAAATACTGGTGGGGCTTTGATGATGAATCTCTTTTCACAGATCCACTTAAAAGCAGCAATTGGTTCATAACTATATTTTGTGAATAAAGTTATATTTCAAATACACTTTTCAGAATTCCATTGTCACTCTCTGTCTGGCATGATGACTATTTTGAAGCACTTTCTACTAATCTAGACAAGGTGTTTACTTGTATTTTGTATTCTCTTTCTGTTCTAGACTTCATCTTTTCACAAAAGTACCTCATAAAAGAATTCTGGGAAGTCAGATGACATTGGCTATTGACAAGCTAGCCAATATTTGCCGGATTTTACAGAAATATGTGTGCGAAAGTCTTACAGGTGACCCTTGAAAGATTCTGTTATAGTCAACATAGAGTTATCATTGCAAAGGTGATTTATTGATGCCTAGGTGTGATGGAAGTGGAAGTGAAACATGAAGGAAATTTATTGAGACAGCTGACAGTTTATGCTCTTTATTTTAAAGCAGGTGGATGACCACCATATATGAAATAAAGCAAAAAGATCCCCAGTTTCAGTCAGATGCAAAAAAAGTGCCATCTCTTCAAACAACAGACTGACTTGGTGTTGGTATGCCATCATAATCATCTGAGTAGTGCTGATACTGGTCAGTAAGAAGAGGCTGATGCAACTCATCCTTATTTTTCTTGACACGTACAATGCATGCAGCAGCAGCAAAGATAATTGCAACAAGAACCAGTGCAGTCACTATTGCAATAGTTATCATCTCTGTGACACGGAGAGCCCGACCTGAAAGAAGGAGAACAAAAGGCAAAGATATTAAAAGCAAATGTCAAGTATATGGATAAATACCAGAGATTCAGACTGAAACTCAGCATTTATTCACTGAATTGGGGAGTAGAAATAATTAAAATTTTGTTTGATAATTCTTGTTCAAAAATGTGAAAATATTTAGTCTGTCTTGCTTCACTCTAAAATCTGTTCTGGACCTTTCTTCTGCCACCTTGTTTCTGATGCATTCTGATTTGCATTCTCTCTAGTGAGTTAATGAAGCTATTCGACATAGGAATAAGGATGTTCTGCAAGGTTAAGATCCAAATGAGAACTTCTCCTAAAATTAGGGTGGGTACTGGGAACTTCATGCTGGAACAATCTCTGACCAATAGCTATACCAAATCCCAAACAAACATCTGGAAAGTAAAGCAGGAAAGGGGAAAAAGGCCCTTACAAAGACAGCAAACATTGTTGGTGGAATTTGAATAAATTTCAAGAGAAAAAGATACGAAGGAAAAAAAAGAAGAGGAAGTATCTAGGCTACACAGTTTACCTGGCCACTCGACTTCATAGCTGTATCCCAGGTTTTCTGGTGCAGTAACAAACATTTCATTATTGGTCACAGGAGGCCAGAAAGGCACCATGTTGTACTGTCGGTTATGTCCAATAGGGGCATTCTCCAGTGGGTATGTTGAGATATCTAAATTTGAAAGTTAAATCACATTTCTGTAAATAAATTAAAAATAATTTGCACTACTTCATTTTTTCTTTCCAGCTCAGGGTTTTGAGTATCCCAGAATTCTTTTTCAGTTGCTCCGGAGGATTTGTTTCCCAGTGTTACAGGTACAAAGCACAGTCTCTGTGCTGTCCAAAACCAAGGCCACTAATGTTACCTCTGGTTTTGAATAGAAATTAGCAGTAAATTTTTTAAAATTCTGCCCATGTTAGTATTTTTATTTCTGCTCACTTGGAAACGGACAAATATGGCAATGACCTTTTTCTATGTTCTTGCTTTGCCTGATTGTAGCAGTGATTGTAGCAGGATGACTGCTGATGTAAATTTCAGTGGAATTTTTTTGCAACATAATGCTAACTCAAAAGGAAGTAAGCTGAAATAAAAAAACAACCAGAACAGAAAATCCCTGAAACAAATCAAACCAGCAACAACAACAACAACAAAACTCAAAACATAAAAGAAAGAAAATACTTTGTGTTAAGATGATGCCAAACCTTGTGATAGATCATGTAAGAACCACAAAGGGCTCTTACACAAGGGGTTCTCTGAGAGCTGATGTGGGAAAATTTAATGAGGCAGATTGTGGAAGCTGCAAAAAGAAGTCTCAGTTGTGCAACAACAGCTGTCTTCTGTAGAAGAAGGAAGAGGAGTATAGATTATCCTAAGAGAATACTGTTGCTGCATTGTGCGGAGGAATACAGTTGCTGCATGATGCATGGGCATAAGAGTTAGACTGAATTCTCTCCCTGGTCCAGTGATGTAAGTCTCCTTCCCTTATTTTTTTTTTTTCCATCATTCCTTTCAAATCCTCCCTTCTGTTCTTCCTTTCTCCCTCTTTTTCACTTTCTCCTGTATAATCTTTTTCTGGGTTGTTTTTGGAATTAAAAAAACAAGGGCAGAAATGGTAACTATCCTTTTGAAGTATATGGAGAAGGTTATTGAATGCTGGCAGTATATCACAAAGGTGATAGAAATGAATGTGTATGGCATCTGTTCTTCCTTTGACAAGAAGAAAATAGTTATTTACACCACACAACGATGGACTGTCCTTTCAGGGTTACAATGTCTTTGCTCTATGGAGACAGTGTATTCCCACATACTGCTTTCTTGAATTGTACCTGCTGTCTCTGACCAGGTCCCTTCACAGACAGTGATGTGTAATTCCATGTCAATGGGGTGAGGAAGAGAGCTTGCTTGTTACTACTTTGTTTTTGTTAACTATGCTAACTCTTAAAATTCCAATTCTCTCTCCTAAACTGAGGGGCATCTTGCTGTCGCACAAGAAGGAGTTGAGTTTATGTGATTACAGAGAGTGACAAGCACCCATCCTGCCTCTGTCCATGACAACATCTTACCTGCAGAATGCCGCCTCAGCCACTCGTCAAAAAGAGCATCTGTAAATGTGTGCAGGAGGACAAAAATGGGGTCATTTGGTGATAAATGAGTTTGCCCTCCTGTTCCATTCAAAAATAGATGAGCCAAGTTATGAAGACTTCGAACTGCTGGATCGTATTTTCCTGAAGGATCACTGTACCCTGAATATGCAAACAAAGAAGAAAACAAAAATACCAGTGAAGATTTTGTTTGGAAGCTGCAGTTTCAGATTTTTTTTGTTTTGTTTTTTCTCTAAAAGGCTTTCATGTTCTCATGTTGCTTTGCCTTAAACAAATGGGTAGCTAATTCTCTACCTACTGACATTTGAGAAATGTTCCTGGAATACATAATTTTCAGATTAAATTAGCCTTTATAAAAGAATGCTGCAAATGTGGACTGTAAAGCTGGTGGGTTCTACCACAAAAATGGCCAAAATAACATCACAGCATGAAAATAGATGTATATATTTGGGCCCTGCATCTCTTTCTCCATACTAAAATAGTTGCATGATTTTTCTACCTGCTTATTGAAGCAGGTGTGTGTTGCCATTTATTCTAATGAGCTAGCTGTTAGGTTTCCATACATCACTTCCATATATACTGGTAACACGTATTTGTTTTTTCGCTGAAGACAGGCTGTAGCTTTGTTTATGCCCAAAACCTCATAGCCCTCAAGTTGGATGTTAGGGTCTGAAGCATCATGGAAACTTGTCCTGTGTTCAAGCTTTGGCCAGCTATTCCAGAGAGGGATACCTACAGTTAATTTTCCAAAGCAATGTTTGGACACCGAGGTATTGCTAGGCAGCCGTCTGAACTGTCACTTTTTAGTCTTTTCCTGTTAAAAGCTCTGGATTATTAAGGAAATGAAGAAGTTTTTAGGATGCTGTTTGAGCACTATAAATCAAGTCTTTAGGCTCTTTGTTGGGTGTGTGCGTGTGTTCTGGTGTCAGTGACAGAGACTTCAGTTTTAAATGTGCAGGGCTTATAGAAGAACAGTGTTTTTATGTTCCAGAGAGAAGGGCTAGTATGCCTAGCAGTAAATCCTGTAGCCAGACCTCAATTACTGTTTCAATACTATTGCACTAAATACTGCTAAAGCTTTCAAATTATTTTGCTTTTTTTCAGATACAAGCATAACTGCTAGAAGCACTTGTTTGCTTCATTTAGGGATGCAATGGCATCAATCCACAGACAAGGACTTTGTTTTCAACAAAGGCAGTTTACTAACTATGTGTCAAGGACCTGAAGTTAGTTTCTACTTAGTATACCAGCAGCAGATTCTTGAGAGTTTTATGCATTTTAAGAGACAATAAGCTATAGCTATGAAGTAATTTACTTAGAGCTTATTTCGGCTTAATACTCAACTAATACTTAATGCTAAGAACAATGTGTTCTACTTGTCCAATAGCCTGTCTCAAAACTCATACTTCCAACAGGAAAAAGTGGCAAGTCTGCTCCCTGGTTTATCTGAAGCTGTTCAAGGTCTTTTTATTTGCCATGTTTACCTTCTACTGTGTTACGGAAACTGTCTGTTGAATTTGAATAGAAAGGAGGAGTGTCAAATACACCAACTTCCAAACACTGAGCAACATCCTCAGGCTCTGGGAGACGCTGTACCATAGGTCGTGCTACATTTCCTGCAGGATTTCTTCGTATGGGACCACCCTCAGTACCTGGAAGCAGAGGGAAGAAAGACAACAACGTGCAGAACAGTAGGCCACAGAAAGAATTGCTCTTGTGACTGAACTGTGGAGAAAAAAATCTCTCACAAAAGACATTTACACTGAATGAACTGGTCAGTTCCTTACATTGGGCAAAGAATCTTCATGGGGCCCTGTGTTCTGGATTCTCTGTTCCAGGATGTAAAATGTCATCTAGAAGCTTCTTACTGAAATTTGTTTTCTCTAAGTGATTTAGGAAAATTTTCTACAGATTTTCAATGTGATTTCCTGATGAGACCTAGGTCAAGATTATTGAGGATGTCCTGACAGAGTAGCTGGGGAAAATATTATGTAAATGACTAACCCAATATTGGGAGGGGTTTCCTATTTTTCCCCCTATTTCCATGACAGTGCTTATACGAATATATAAGAAACCTTACTGGTATTTTAAAAATTATTTTAATTTGGGTAGGTATGTTAGAATCTGGTGTGACTCACATTCAAAACATGGTCCACATAGTTACTGTGGGGATTGTTGGATGTTCTTATTTTAGGAGCAGAATGGCATGAAGGTGATAAATGGAGTAGTCAGACGAAAAGTTAAGCTTCAGTTAAGAAATAACACTGCCAGATTTAATTATTTATGGTGCAAGAGATGAATTGGTACTGCATAAGAAGGGAAGGCAAAGCATTTATTCTTTCTTCTGGTACAAGCTCATTATAGTATGTATTATCTCAACAGTCTGATGAAACATGGATCAAGAATATTCAAAAACTGCTTTAAAACATTTTGGCTGAAAAAAGCCACTGCAATGTAAAGTATTATATTTTTTTATTATTATCAGACTTTTCTCTCCAGATATCTTTCATCATTCATACTTACTGTTACAGATGGTTCCCAAGGTTTCATAATCTTCTACATTTTCACATAGCACTCGCCACTGAGAGAAGATTGAATTCTGGCTTATAAGAGAGACATCGAAATTGCTTCTAGCTCCCATCAAGTCATCTGAGCAGATATCACAGGTATTTTGTCCTGTTGCAAAATTCCAGTAGGGCAGTCCAAAAGTGGGGTCCTGTAGCATGTTCTAAACCACATAAATATAGTGTTACTATGTGTGTAACACAGACAGCTGTAATATTTACTGCTAGAAGAGTGCTAAAAACCAGCTAAATACATCCTAGTAAAAGTCAGAATCTTTCCTTGTAGAAGAGGAGAACTCTATGGAAAAAACATGTAGAAGCTTTTTGATAGTTCTTAACATTGAGACCTTTGTTCAACAGAGCAGATAGCTGTACTACTGAACTGAATCATGGATCTCCCCCACTATTAAGACAGTATCTCTTCCATGAAACCTCATTGTAAGCGATAAGAAACCTAACACTGAGACCCCATTTTCCAAATATTTTTAATGGCCTGTAAGCAAGAACAGTGCACATAATAACTAGATAAACTGTGGAACTGAAGGAAATGTAAAGAATAGGGATACCAGCTTTTCCAGTTGGCATAGTTTAATTCTGGTATGGGCTGGAGTTGAACTGTACTGGAGTTAGCGAGGCAAAATTACTTTGACTAATGATCAAGTCTACTGACATAAATAGGAATATATATTAAAATCACAGACAGATAGAACTTCTCTGGGCTTCCACAAAGAGAAATGCCACAGATGACAAATGTGTGTCTTGGAAGGGAGTGTGTGCCTCAGCCTGACGTAAAGCAATTAAAGCTAGTGGAAACACTGAAGTGATTTCAGACACTATTTAGTCCTGACCTTGAAAACTTAATTCTTGATTTTTAAGGATGATGGTCCATAAAATACTATACCCATTTTATTAATAGGTCCACATAAGAGAAGGAAAAAAAGAGAACCACTGATTTATGGAACAGGATGTAGTAAAACACTAGTTTCTCTAACTGGTTTCACAAATGAAATGTGATTCTGAATTCATAAGCCATCTCTGTTATTACTTTCTTCAGAATTTCTGATGCTTTGGTTAATGTTATTCAAAGAATAATGGCCTTGAGATTAAAAACACCACTGAAAAGAGCATTGTTGGTCCAATAACATGTGTTATATCTAGAATATATCTTTTTTACCAAGAGATTTTTATGGAAATACTACATTTTCTATTGCTCTGATTAAAATATTATATTTAACATCCCTATAAAAGTGACAGTCTGAAGCCTAAATGCACTCTATTAAATTTAGTGTACAAAATGAGTTAATGAAATTGCAGCAGAATCATTTCAACATGTAGGAAAAAATTAATTTCATTTGTTGCCTGTTTTAATATGAAGCAACTTTAACTGCAAAAAACATAGCGTGAATACCAGTAAACATTAAGAGGAACTTCACCTGCATGTCTCTTTCAAGCTGCAATAGATGGTACCTATGCCACGTGACAAAAGCTGGTCCCTCATGAGAGAAGTCAACTCCTCCAAAACTCTGCTGCCCCGCACCAAGGAAAGTCTTCCTGACAGAATAATAGTGAGACCACACAAAGTAGTTATAAATGGAGATATTCTCAAACTGAGGTGTGTTGCCATCTGGTCCAAAAATTTCTTCACGTCTTCGTGTGGCAATAACGATGTCAGGATGGACTGTCACCTTGGCTTGGTGTAAGGCATTCACGAAGCGATTCCTTTCTTCCGCACTTAGATCCAAAAGGTTCCTTCTGACTGCGATAAAGCAGAAGAAGCAAGTTACTGCCAAAGTAACAAGACACTGAAGTCTGATCTCACAGAACTTATTTAATGCATTCCTAATAATTCTGGGCAAGTCCCTTTTTCTTCAAGTGTTCACCCTTTTTTTATTGGGGAAACTCACTGAGCATAAATAGATTATTTTAAGAAAAGCTGAAATAAATTAAAAAGAATCCCAATCTTTACAATTTTAGTGCTTTTAGGAGTATTGTTACAGATTATTTTTCCATCCTGCTGGACAAAAGACAAAGACAGTTCTTTGTCATACAAACCTTTCAGAACTTCATCTGATATACTTATCTATATACCACTACTTGTGGTGTAGTACTCTACAAGAAATGAGCACTATAAACTAATAAACCAATAATCAGAAACTCTCTGTTTGAAAATTTAATGAAATTAAATTTTAATTTAATGAAGAATTGATATTTTTATTCTTGAACCTTTGTAGGAAAAATGGCAGATTTGCTGTGAATTATTGTGAATTTGTCACAGTATATCTTTAATCTGACATTTCATCTTACCTTTTATCTTCTAAACCTGACACTATTAACAATTGTCATGTATTAGCCCTTTTTAGCCATATATCTCAAAATAATGAAAAAATGTCATTGTCCACACATAGAAAGTGCAACAAGAAAGAAAACTGACTTGTTGAAATAGCAGTATTTCAGCAAGAAGAAGTGAATCCAGATGACCTCAGTCCTTCTTTCATCTGGTCTGAGAAAATTTCAAACTAAGTTTAGACTAAGATGAAGATAGAAGTCCTCACAATTGTTATTCAATATTTACTTATTGTCATTATAGAAATACACAGTAAAAATCCATAACTCATTGTCCAAATTAGTGATAGATTATACAGATGCAAGAAGCAACAGATCTTCAACATGAATCTATACAAAGAATAGAAGTGAATTATGCTTTACTACAAAAAAAAAAACCGGATTCAGTGAGGCATTTTTTAGCTTCTGGGAAATTTGAATAAAGTCTTTCCTGAAACATGAATTTCAGGCAAGGACTGTGTATCCTGAAACATACTTTTTTGTTTTGCAGAGCTGAACTGACATGCTAGCCCTCATCACTGAAGTGCTGGGCTTTGTGGTTTGGTTGGTTGTTTATTTGTTTGGGTTTTTTTTTGGTTATTTTGTGGTGTTTTTTGAATTGTTTCAAGTAGACAACTGTAATTGTCCATCTAATTTTGATTTACATAGACATATTAACATTTTCATTTTGAAAATATATGCCTGAACCACAATAAAAAATAGTGATTATTATTAGAGTTAGTAATTAACAGAGAAGTTACGAAGACAGCACACTGGATTTTACAGCAATGTAATATGGATATGCCAACAGTAATCCAGTAATTATTTCTAAAATCTGAACAGATAGGGCCATCTATGAATGGGCAAAAGAGGTGACCTCAATGTGAAAACTTAAAGCATAATAAGAAAATAATTTATACCTTTTAAACTCCTGTTATCATGCACAATATATTTGATTTATTTGGCATTTTAATGCATCGTAAAGTATTTAATGAGAGAAAAGTAAAAAATGCTCTTGTACATTCTAGAAAATCACCTAAAACTGCTGTTTGCCTGTCTCTAGTTTTACATTATTAAGTTTGTGTGTTAACATTTATGCCTTTATTATGCTTCAGAGCTGCTATCATTGTAAAATAGAATAGGCCAGAGTATCAGAGAGTGCAATCTGGTGTAGCAGATCAAATTCACAAGTAATACTTTCTTCTTTCTAGTTTAGTTCTTGAAGCTCAAAGGGTGAAAAAAAATTCAAAGATCTTTCCCATAGCCATCATAAAATATTATTAAGGAATTGTTAAAATTTTGATTTGGTAAGTGGTCGTTTGTTAACTCTTATTGGAACATGCTCTTACATTCATGGAATGTTCACTTATCTGGTGAAATGTCAGTGCTGATTTCTGTTTCTGCAGAAAGAAACACTGCATATTTGTGCTAGAGACCTCTTGTTTAACATATCAGCAGAACCCATGCTCATTTGGGAAGATTTTTGATTCTACAGGATTTCAATAACTTCTTTGAAGTTAAGTGTTTAAGTTTAAAAATAAAGGTTGAAATCTTGTCCATTCAGATGGTTTTCAGATGAGAACAAGAATATGGCCCCAAACCTGTTTGTCTTTTTTAATTTACCTGTAATGTTCAACTTTTTTCCAGTCCTTCAAGGATTTCAAATCCATTTTTTAAAAAAATTTTAAGATCTGTTTAGTGACATGCTAGATGTAACTGAAACTGGAGTACTGAAGAAGGGCTTACCCCACCCTGGACTAATTAATTTGAACAGTCCCCAGTCATGACTAATTTTTTTAAAGATATTGGCAGCAGCAAAGGCAATAAAAATTTACCAGACCAGGTACTTAGTTAAGAATTGTATTAAGGGACTTTGAATGAAAAAACCTGCTGTCACATTTAAAATAGTCACAAGGTATTAAACATATTGAGGTACATATTATTCCCAGGATCACTCACAAACACGTGTACGTACGTGCCTTTAGACATTATTTTTATCTTAAATCCAAATAATACATTTTTCTTCAATATATACGTTCTATTCTTTAATGGAATTTCATGCTTTCTTTTCTTCCTTTTAATGGATAGTAAGTGTAAGTAATAAGTAATTTTTACACGAGCTGAACTGCTCCTCTAGCCCCTGCCTTTATAACACCTTTAGCAACATACCTTTGTTAGTAAATAGCATGGAGGTTTTGTACCTTAAAGAGAACAAATCCACTAGATACACTGAGAAGCAAGCACTGACAAGGACCAGCTTTCACGTCGTATTTCTGATGTCCTTACCAATATTGATCTGCTGGCTGCAGGTAGGTCCAGTCCAGCCAGGCCGACATGACCCGCAGTTGTAGCCGGAGAAGTTCCCGTTGCAGCGGCAGGTTTGGTTGAAGAAGCGGATGGGCCATTGCTCGCGGTCATCCCGCCCGTCGTGGATGTACTGGGGGCCGTGGGGCCGCCAGTCGACAGTCACCTGTACGCACCGGCCCCTGCCCGTGGACACACCACAGCGGTCGGTGCCTGGCCCGAACACAGGGAAATAGTCTGGGCAGCACATGCCGCTCCTCAGGGCCTCAACAGTTGCGCACTGTCGAGGGAACTGGGCTCCAGCTTGGCCTGACATGGTGAGAAGCATCAGCAGGGAAAGGTAGAGCAGCGTGGCGATCCGCATGACAGCGGGTCAAGCAGAGCTGGCTTGTTCCCAGAGCTGGCTGTCCGCACGCGCTGATTTCCTCTCCTGTGATGGGACGCCCAGCTCCCTCTATGGAGAGAGAGAGAAAGAGGGAGAGAAAGCAGAGTAAAAACGAGTGACACAAATCTCTGGGCTACCCCTTTCACCCCAGAAAATTCCTAACTCTACACTTCAACAATCTGAAAAGGCGAGCAGCTCTGACCACAGATGCTAATATTCTCATTATCTGCACGAAAGATAGTAACTAAGTAGATCTGCATTTGCTCACTGACTGTTAAATTCTTCCAAAATGTTCATTCACATTTTACACTTGCTGGACACGTTTGTTCTAAAGCCACAAAGTTCTAAAACCTGTCTAAGGCACCAGTTTTCTGAAACATTTTTTTTCCACACTCCTTCCTTCCCCCAGCTCATGCCTTCTCTGCATTAAACTAGCATATCTTGTTCTCCCCTCTGTTTTCCTGCTGTTCTCTGATGCCAGCTCCAATATAAAGTGAAGCTGTACTTCTTCATGCATTGTACCTGTTTTGTCTTCCTGGTACCTCTCCACTGCTGAGATCTTGTTCTATCTCTGCACGTCCTATGACTGTCTAACCTGAAATAAGCACGGCTAATTTCTCTCCTGGTTCAGTCTGCTTGCTAATCCTTCTTGTACCAACACAGTGTGGCTTGGCCTCACCCTCCTTCCTCTCTTAATCCCCTTTCTACTTCAGTGCATTTCTCTGGACTTTAAGTACTTGAACAGCACATGATTTCTTTCATGCTTATCTCCTTGTGATTTTACAAGTTTTACCAAAGGTCAGAGACAAATACTTGAATTCAAAACAGAACAAATGTGAAGTTGGGTTTTTGTTTGTTTCTTGGTTTGTTTTTTGTTTTTTTTTTTAATTACTTGCAAAGAAAGGTTCACTTGAAAACAAAGAACAGTGGGGAAAATACATTTAAAAGATACTTAGAAAAAGTTCTTAAGACAGCATTTTCAAGATGAGGCTGAACTAAGTGACTAAGCAATGTTATTTGTAAAATGAAACACTCCAATTTTTAAACTTATAGCTTTCAGTTTAACACTTTATTTGGTACTAAAATAAAAAGACAATGATCGTACTGGAATTTCATAGAATACTAACTTCTGAGTAGGTGCTAGGAAGGGTAATGACAAAAATAAATTGACAAATCTCTTCAGTGAAAAAAAAAGCTTCTTTAATCTTTGCAAGGATGATTTCTACTGGACAAAAATGACCTTGTTCAAGTTATTACTCTCTTCCTTAGCTTTCAATAAGGATGGATTTCAGTGAGGTGGAGATATGTCAAGTGAGGTGAAGATAAGTCAAGAAACATCTTAACTGGCATCAAGACAAAATATTAACAAGTTTTCTGGGAAAAGGTTCAATCACACTGTAACTGACATCAAGCAGAAAATGGATTACCTTCTCTTTCTGCTTCCCTATATGCAAGTCATAATGCAAGAGTGCACCCAATTCTGGCAGAACAAAGAAACAATTTTTTTGTGCATTTATTCTTGCCAACCAGCCATGCACCAGAGCAGTGAACCTTGCCCTCTGTGCCTTGCATAACCCAACATGCTTGCTTCAGGGTAGGAGGGAGACTTTTAGTACACTTTTTTCTCTCTTTAGTTCATTCTCCATTTGCAGACAGGAGTATTTGCTAATCCTCAAGTGAATGTATTTTCTATTCTGACTTCCACTTCATTCTCCATTTTAGTATATATTCTCTTCTTTGTTATCTTATCCTGCTTCTTTCCAAGCTTATATGTTTTCTCTTTGAACATGTGTATCGGGACACAGGTGACACAAATTCACTGTTTTCACATCAGAAGGTAAACCAGAGCTGGTAAAAAACCTCTTGAGATTTTATCTGAAAAGAAATTAAAGTTCAAAGAAGAAGCATACAGGTTTTAGCCAAGAATATTTAGCAAATACAGCAAATTCATAATAAGCTTTAGAGGGATAAATGCTGCTTCTTAGACAAAGCCCCAGTAAAACAGAGCAAACAGATGTACTGACTGAGGTTTCCTGGCATCATAAAACTTCCCCATATAATGGTGTACATGATTTAGACCTTCTGAAAACCTCCTGCGGAAAAACACCTATGAATGTTTTACAGCAGAGGTGCACTGCTGAGGATCATATCCCTTCTTTTCCCCCAGATATTCCCTTGGGTTTCCTGTTGGAAATCTTACTGAACTATTTGGTGGAATGCAATCTTTTTTATAATTTTTATTTTGATATTCTTGCCTTTAGAGATATTCTTGCCTTTAAAGACTCCTGCTCCCCTACTGTGCCTGAAATGATTTGGTCTTGGAGATTATCCAAATGTACAACATCTGTGTTTCTGTGACTCAGTTCAGAAAGGGCTTGTCTACAAAATCAAGGTAATGAGGAAGAAGTCAGTGTGTGAACCCCTAGCTCACTAATTGCCTGTGCAGACTTAAAGACCTGAAAAGAGATTACTTAATATGCTATATATTTGCATATATTCTTATATTATTGCACCACTCTCTTTTTTTTTTTTAGTAGTAGTTTTTGATGCTGGGAACAAGATTTCTGTGCAGACACACAAGGTTTAGGTCTATACCCTAAACTACTGGAGAAGGTTATAAAAATCTAGAGAGCTCTATTTATGCTTGATGAAACATACCTGAGGTACCGATTGTGTCTCAGCCCATGCCACCATCAGTCAAACGTCTGGGAGCTACCCAGTGGTCCTTACTAAGAGTTGGAATACAGGCATCTGTTTGTTTAAAGTATAAGAACACAGTATTAATTCAGAAGTTCCGTTCTTTAACACATGAAAAGACACATGATTGTAGTGATACTGCTACATGCATTTTTCTTCCAGTTAAACAGTACCTTTAAGAAGCATTAAAGGTCAGTGCCAGGAAACAGATCGCTATCAATGGCTCTCATGGAACATATACAGCAGAAGAAGATAGAGTCTACCTGAATAGGCAATCTTCATAGTTCTTCAGTTGTCCTAGGGCTTATTCAGTTCTACACATTTGAATAAGTACATTATTTTTTGAGTTTTTGTCTATTTCTTCTATTTAATTGGTATATTCAAACAGTACTATGCAAGATGAATGTAAAAGAGAGCAAAACTTACCTAGTATTTTTTTCTTCCTGAAGAGTGGGGGAAAAAAAAATATAAGAGCCAACCAGTTTAATGTTTTTCTAGCAAACTATAAGCAATAATCTACAGTAATAAAACTACTGTCTCAAGGCATCAGTAGACAGCTGCAGACTTAACAAGGGAAATGGTGCCAGAGTTTCATTAACAGAACATGTAGATGCAAAAAAGTATTAATTTGTAAATAGGTTGTGAAATGAATGGGCAACAAACAACAGTGATGTTAACAGTGATGATCTGCAGCATTTAATTTTCTGCTTCTATTCAGAAAAACCACCAATGAGAAACATTGCTGAAAATCTTTTACTCAGATTAATGCTTGCAGTGAAATTGAGACAAGATTTTTCTTACTGATATTTGTCATGCAAACTGTAGAAGTGCATAGTCCCAAGGAGCACACAATTTAATTTTTCCCACAAACCCTGGGTTTTAGCAAATTGCTTCGAGCTAGAATTAATGAGTGCAGCTACAGACATCTAAACCTCAGTGCTCTGTTAAATAACCGATTTTCTGTAGTAGGAAAACAGTGGACCAGCCTCAGATAATGCAAATCAACACAGCCCCATTGGTTTTAATAAGACATAGAATTACAGTCAGCTGGAGGGAGCTTGGCTCATTTGTATAGGTTAACCTTCAGCTGGCTTATTTGCTGACAAGAAAACGACAAAAATAATGCTGACTGTTACAAGCAACTGCAGTACTTCCCAGATAATTCTACTACATATTCTCTAGTCTACATTATCTCCCTTTTCATTAGACAGTTGAAAGCCAAGCCAACAGTGAGTATGAAACTGCGTGTAGTGCAACCTTACGAAATGAAAAATAGCATTCCAAAGAATAGAAATAAAAATATTTCTTTTTAAAATTTGTTTAGATTATAAGGTTTTAGCACATTCATTAAATTGCTTCATCTCTTCCTAGTGTCTCTTATTTTGTGTCAGATATGGCAAGTCCCATAAAAGCTAAGACATGTCTCAGACATGGAGAAATTTTATTCATTTTTCTAGGAAATCATGCATATCCCTGTATTGTGCTCTACTGTAAGATTTAATTCTGGATTAATTTTAATTAAATGAGTATTAGTCAACTTTCTTCTTGGCAACAACTTTCTCATCTTCATCCAGCAGACTGCATGATACTTAGTAAGTACTTAAATTACTCTCTAAGAGTAGGAGTCTCAAATTTTTATCAAGTACTTATTTTTTCTTGCAAATAAGGTAAATTTCTACTTTCATTTTGAGAAAATATGTTTTAAAACTTTTATTGGAAGCTGAATCAACTATAAATCAATGTATAAGAAAGATAAATAAAGCAAAGGACAAAATTTTTATATTGTTTTGATAACCTGATTAAAGAAAAAAAAATGAAGTAAAACTATTTCATACAAATTGATACTTCTTTTCTTTAAAGTATGAAATTTTCACAGTGAATCTTGCAAATGCTATAAACACTTTAAGCAAAATAAATAATTTTAGTTATACCTACTCCATAATGTGCTCTATTCATCTAAAGTTTTAGCCATGTACTGGAATGTGTGTTATAATAATGCTAACAATTTCTGAACATTTCCTCCATGTTTTTGTAATTCTGGAATGTTATCAATGAGCTGAAGCATGGCTGAGAAATGAAATTGGCCTGCAGTTGCGTCTGCAAAGTAAAGTGCAGAAAATTTACTCTATCTTTGTAGTTCAAAAGTTCACCTTCAGCAAGGAAACATATAGGTAATTGGAGTCTTTATTGCTTTCACCAAACATAGTCCAGTGCCTGGAGAGAGATCTGCAGTTTCAAAATGATGCGATAGAGGTGACAAATGACTACCTGCAGAGAAATGAGTGAGACCTAAAATAGTGTTGCAGATAGGCATAAAATGAAAATAAGTAGCACTTGTCTAAGAGTTTGAAATAGCTTCAAAATAGCACACATCACTTTTGCCTCTTGAAAATATATGTAAGGTTTGAAAGCAGTATTTCAGAGAAAGAGTTGACGGATAAAGGTACAAGATTGGGTAGAGCTTCCAGGAAGCAGAAAGTGTGGTGTTGAACCTGGAATCATGAGTTTTACTTACGAGTGACTGTGGATGAAATCTGACTCCCTTAGCAGCCTAAGGTGAAGGAAATAAGGTATGCTCTAATCCTAGGGACAACCATGGTATTAAAGTTAGCTTTGTGTTGTGAGCAAATACAGTGAACACAATGCTTTGATTGCCACAATGTAGCTGGAGCTGGGCTGTGTAAAACTGAGCTACAGATTAGGAAATTGTCTAACATAGTGTCACATGGTCATTGAACCCAGAATGGGTGTCAGTGAGGCCTGGAGGTGGAGGGTGTCCCTGCACAGACAGAGTTTGCAGAAATTAATGTGTCTATCACCAGCAGTGCTGTGCACCTGCCACCCTGCCCCTCGCTCTCATCTGTGCACCTGCCCATGCTCTCATCTATCCACCCGCCAATGCAATGTTCAGGAAATTTATTCTCCTCTGACCACACTCTAGGGAGCTACTAATCAAGAAGTATTACATGTTTTGTTCTTACTGTAGATGCACT